TCAAAAATGCCATTCTCTCATGAATTAAAACCAAAACGTGCCCACTGTGCCTAGGGGAACAGCCTTACGACCCAGAGTGGATTAGTTAGAACACTGGATAGACAGGAAGATCGTAAGTCGTTAGCAAAGAAACAGACTTACTGGAGTGGATAAATTCGATGTCTTTACCATTAGGGTTGGGTGCTAGAACACATAAAATCGGAGCTGAAGTGAGAGACTATGCAGGAAAAGCCAAGAAAAAAAACACAAAACCAATGTTTGGGAAACCCATGACTCTACAATCTCACATTTCTTCCAGAACTTTCCAGGAAATAATTTACTATGATGAGTCAGTTCTAACCAGGCACCACGTGCCGGGCTGGGAACACTAGTCCAGGAACTCACTATGAGTTTCAGGCCAGCTCCGCCCCAGATCTGGAGCATCTGAGAAGTTTTGGGGCCAGCGTGCAACCCTGCTCTGTGCACCAGCCAGACCTCCCCTCGGAATGGGTCTGCTAGCCCGATCTCTCCCCAAACTGCAAGAAGCATTTTCAAAGAATAGTTTCCAGGCCAGGCGTGGTAGTTCACGCCTGTAATAACTGCACTTTGGGAGGCCAAGGCGGGCGAATCACCTAAGGTCAGGCGTTCAAGAGCAGCCTGGCTAACATGGTGAAACTCCATTTCTACTAAAAATACAAAAAATTAGCTGGGCGTGATGGCGTACCTCTGTAATCCCAGCTACTTGGGAGGCTGAGGAAGGAGAATCACTTGAACCCGGGAGGAGGAGGTTGCAGTGAGCCAAGATCACGCCATTGCATTCCAGCTTGAGCAACAAGACTGAAACTCTATCTCAAAAAAAATAAATAAAAAATAAATAAAAAAGAATAGTTTGTGATGACTCAGATATAAGTCTAAAGATCATGCAGAAGTGGTAGCTGTCCCAACACTCTTTTTTAAGAGTGCTTTTTAATTCAATGCTTTTTACTAAATTTACTGAGGTGTGTTGCTATCATCACTATCCAATTTCAGAACACGGTCATCTCCCCAGTAAGATTCTTCCTGTCCATTTACAGTTAATTCCCATTCCCACCTGAAGCTGAGGTTATGTGAGGGCCCTCTGTTTCCTCTATCCCCATGTCCTCACTTTATTTACCAGCACAACTGCATGGAGTAGTTGGTTACCTATGTGTTTCCTACTAAGTGACAACACCTGTGTGGTTAGCTACCATGTAGATGTCAGATAGAAATGCACATATACATACACCACCAACCAGGGAAGCAATGTGAACCCTCCCTATCCATCCCATCAGGAAAAAGGCCAACACTTCTGCAAAATGCTTCCAACCTGGCTATTGCAGGTATAGCCATGGTTTTCAAAGACTGCAGGAAAACTGAATATTATCCTTTACAATACATGTCATTTTAAAAAATCAATACCATTCAGACCTTTAAACTAAGAATCTTGCCTGTGCTCCCTGAAGGTGATATTGGTGAATCCAGAGGTAAAAAATCATGAGAACATCAAGGAATTGAAGAAAATAACCATCATCAACTGGCTCCTGGAAAGCCAATTACATCCAATATTTTCTTAACATCAAAGGTTAAACATAGTTCTGGAAAACAGTGGGAAGAGAAACCAAGAAGCAGCTTTAGCTTGGCTCCTCTGCGGTCCTGTTACAGGTAGTTAGGTAGGCATGAGCAGGGCAGGAGAAGGCTTCCCACCCCACCCCAACTAGAAATGTTGGTGATGGTTTGGCATCGTCTTTTTAAAAAGTGTAATTCCACAACCAGAGAGAGACAAGCTCCTGATGGCCCACACCTGTTAATATTAAACGTTGTTAACTGAATGCAGACTCCAGGGAGAAACCGCTTCCTGGGCATGCATATTAAGAGACAAAAATGGCAAAGTATGATCTTCTGGGTATACTCCACCAGAAAAAGGAAGAAATCCTCAGATGGGCATGGGCATGCATACAACTCCCTAAACACACTGCACATGCTCAGTTCCCAAGGGTAAGGAGGGCTCTGCGCATGCGGGAAGACCACCCGAAGGGAAAAACCATGGGAAAGAGGTGAGCTTTTAACAGTCCCAGGATCCCCATTAAACAGGGCACATGACCTTCTCTCTTTAACCTTCAGGTGCCCTCTTGGGTCTCTTCCAAGCACACCTTCTTTCTTTTCTTTTCTAAGGCTTTTATAAATAAACTTCCATTCTTGCTCTGAAACATGCCTCAGTTTCTTTTTCTGTTTTATGTCCCTCAGTCAAATTCTTTCTTCTGGGGAGGCAAAGACTGAAGCTGCTATAGACCCGTCGGGATAGGCCGCCGGTAATCTGGGGTAACTCAGATCTCTTCCAGCGCTAAGAGTCTGAGGGACAAGTCGGTGTCTGCCTTCTGCTTCTTCCTCAGTGGTTTCCTGGGCGTTTCCCAGTGAGAAGAAATTTATGCACCATAGCTGAGATCCACCCTCTGGAGGTCAGAGAAGCTGCCCTAATGACTCATCGTGAACGGTCTCCTCCTGGGACTCTGTCTCCTGTGCGTGGAGGAAATTAGCACTGGCGACTCTGGATCCATATTGAAAAAGCAGCCTGATGAGAGGAAACTAATCATACCTGCAAATATCCCTGAAATACATTTTAACGTAATGTGTGCCCACATCTCTTCTATTTTTTAAATATTTTAAGGTTAAATTGATTTTAAAAAACTACAGCAAAAAGGATTCAGACACACAAATAGCAGAACTTAATACTTTCTTTTTAAATTTTTCAGCTATGCAAGGGAATAGGCAGCATCTTTCATGGGGACGAGGCTCTTCTACTTAAAAGCTAGAAGGAAATTCCTCACTAATTTAGCCCAGTTGCTTAAAACTCTGTTCCATATGAACATAACATTTTCCTATTTTTCTCTACTGATTCTACCCTCAGAATAACAAAAAATACACTGTGACAAAATGTATACAACATTGGCTGGGCCTGCACCTCCTCATAAGGGAAAGGCACAAGAAAATGAAAATTTAAAGTCCCTACAGAGTTTTTTTTGCCCCTTTGGAAGCATAAAAAGCAGACACTGTTAAATGCATGAGGTCCCACAATACCCTCCCGCAACCCCTGCAACACAGCTCATATAGTTTTGTATTTTCTGTATTTGAAAAGGAGAAAAAATAAGAGATCTTTAAAAACACAGATTATTTAACCTGCTTTTAACTTTCTATTTGGATAACCATTCAAATTAGACAAATTATGGGGACAAGAGTGACTGTAAAATAATGGTAGAAAACATTGATAATCTTGCAAAACAGATTTCTGACTAGAGAGGATTACACTATATTAAACTGAAATGATTTCCACTATGGCTCCTAAGAATGAAAGCTTCAAAAGTAAATGTCAGGTCGGGTGCGGTGGCTCATGCCTGTAATTCTGGCACTTTGGGAGGCTGAGGTGGGTGGATCACCTGAAGTCAGGAGTTTGAGACCAGCCAATGGAGTTTGGCCAACATGGTAAAACTCCATCTCTACTAAAAGTACAAAAATTAGCTGGGTATGGTGGCAGGTGCCTGTAGGCAGGAGAATCGCTTGAACCCGGGAGGCAGAGGTTGCAGTGAGCCAAGATCGTGTCACGGCACTCCACTCTAGACTGGGCGAAAGAGCAAGATTCCGTCTCAATAAATAAATAAAGAAATGTCTAGAATCAGTTAACGAGATTTGTACATTACCTTAACTGAATTTCATTAATGATCTAATGTCCATACCTGAATTAACAGGCAGGAAATTAAAACTGGATTGCTACCTGGTGCTTCCGTACACTGAAGAGAACACTCCAATCTGCCAGCCTTACGATGTGGGGGAAACGCATCAAACAGTGCTAAGGTTTTAAGCACGGAGAATATAATCCAGTTATAAAAGCTATTAACCCAGAGAAGTTAATTCTTTGCTACTTGAAGCACACTAAGACAAAACATATCAAAGAGAAGACATACACCAGCAAATGTAAACCACATACAATTACCATACATAAATCATAACGCAGATAGAAATCACGGATCTCAGATGGCCAATGTCAGCCCATGGGTACATGCCCAATATTATGACCAACAGAAATTAAATCTCTGAAACAAAAAACTACAAGTGTGCATCCACAACATCCCACACACTTTAGGAAAACAGGCACTACACAATGTCATGAAAATTAGCTGACAGCTCAAGGTCTCTCATTATCAATGGCATGGATGTTTAAACTGGACTCTCATCTGACAATTAGTTTAGCAAGAACTCATTTTCAGACAGAAAGTCATTTAATCATGTGTAACATTAAATCAAAAGAGCCGATTCTATCATTGGGTCAATTTTCCACTAAATAATTACCATAGAAACAATTAATTCCACACTCAAACAAGTAAGTAGTAACTCCAAAGCTTCCATATTGAAAAGCAGTGGAATTCTAACATGTATTACCACATACAAATTGTTCATCAAGAATATCACTGCGACCAATCTTTGTCCTGACAGGGAGGACCTCTTACATATTCCTTAAATAATAATAATCAAGAAACCTCCTTTTTCCCTACTCCCAAATTTTGGAGATTAACTCAAGTTCTACAAATAACATGACTATGATAACCTACTGTCAAAATCTTGAATTCCAGGTGTGCCTATTTTGAAAGTTCCTCTAGGAATATTCAACTGCAGCACAAGGATTTTAAAATAATACCATTTTTTATACCGAAAGACAAGGTATATGATACTGTAAAGCTTTCCCCTAATTCAGCTTATTCCATTTTCACAAAACAACAACATTTGCCTTATAATTGAGGCACCTGAATCCCATCAAATCGATTTTCATGAACAGTAACTGCAGTGCAACAACAACAACAAAAAAACTTAGGAGACTCTGAACATTCTAATTTTTAAGGATCTCATATGCTCCCACTCAGGAGAATAGAACTAATGCTCCCACACTTTATTTCTCTTCCAAAAATAGCCAGCCCTGTGAAGAAAAAAAGAGATAATGAAGACCAGCTGCCTACCTTCGCTGGTAGCCACATTCTTCTGGGCTTTGGTGGGTGTGTGATCTGTACTTGAACTCACGTCAGATGAGATGCTCGAGCTGCCTTTGCCTGGAAGAAACAGGAATGAGCAGCTTTTGAGATTTGTAATTTCAGACCTGGACCATGCCTTCTACACGGTCCCACACCAAGCCGTATCACTAATTTCCAAGAAAGCCGCTATAATACAAAGAACGGAGTTTATTAAGTTTTTTTGCCTTATGCATTAAATATCTTTTGGGAAATATGATCCATGTTATAGTAGAAGTCCTCTTATAATATAGCTTGACTATAAACTCAGACAAGATTATAAAACATAGTCAAATATGATAACATAATCTCTTTTTGGCATAGATGTGAATAAGAAAGTACATGTGGGGAACACATCTCCTGCATTAATTTTTTATTTGCAACTATAAATTATGCATTTTTCAATAAAGGAAATAAGCAAAGAATAAGGCATAATCAGAGGAGCAAGAGCCTGCTAACTCCAAATAGCTGCATCACATCAAAAAACGAATTCCCTGCTTCAATAGGTCCTTCTTCAAAAACAAAACACAACAAAAAACATTTCACTTTTCTAATGCAGTGGTTCTCAACTGGAGATGATTTTTCGTTCAAGGGGACATTTAGCAATATCTGGTATCATTTTTGGTTGTCACAAATGAGCGGAAGGTGCTACTGGCATCTAGTGGGTAGAGGCCAAGCATGTTGCCAAACATCTTAGAATGCACAGGGCGGTCCCCACAAGAAAGAATTATCCAGCCCAAATCTCAATAGTACCAAGGGTGAGAAGCCCTGGTCTAAATAATCTTAGCTCAAGGCTGAGTTTCTACCCTTCTAACCTTTAATATAGTCATATACATTAATATTACTAAACATTCTTCAAATTCAAATGTCACATGGAAGTCTGTAACTATGAACCACACTGTACTGCCCAGTGATGGAGAAACCTACTGACTGTGGTGGGAAGACTCCTAAGACGCCCTCACGGTATCCAGGTCTGCATCATCTCCTCGGCCTTGAGAGTGGGCTGAACCTGTGACTGGCCTCTAACCAATAGGCTGTGGTGAAGGTAAGGCATTTTGCAGATGTAAAGTCCCTAACAAGTTAACTGAATTAATGACAAGGGAGATTATTCTGGGTGGGCCTGACCTAATTAGGTGAATACTTTAAAAGACGGCCTGGAGGAGAGAGACCCTTCCTGCTGTCTTCGAAGCAGCAAGCCCCCCAGTCAGTTCTACAGCTACAAGAAAATGAGTTCTGGCAACAACCAAGTGAGCACTGAAGAGGACTGTGAGCATCAGAGGACAGCCCAGCCCTGGCCAATGGCTTCACTGCAGCACTGTGAGACCCAAACAAAAGATCCAGCTAATGCAGGCTCAGAACTCTGATTCCAGGAAACTGGAATAATAAATGCTCCTATGTTAAGCTGCTAAGTTTGTGGTAATGTTTTTATTCAGCAATAGAAAGCTATTGCTGGACGGGCACGTTGGCTCGCGCCTGTAATCCCAGCACTTTGGGAGGCCGAGGTGTGTGGATCACTTGAGGTCAAAAGTTCAAAACTAGCCTGGCCAACATCGTGAAACCCCATCTCTACTAAAAATACAAAAATTAGCCCGGCGTGGGGGCACGTGCCTGTAATCCTAGCTACTCGGGAATCTGCGGCAGGAGAATCGCTTGAACCCGGGAGGCGGAGATTGCAGTGAGCCAAGATTGTGCCATTGCACTCCAGCCTGGGCAACAGAGTGAGAGCCCATCTCAAAACAAAAACAAAACAAAAGAAAGCTATCGCTAATGACCGACTAGTTATATCACAGATGAATTCTTTTTGCTCCACAAGTGATGATCAAAACTCTTACGTGCAGCTGAGAAACATCATTTTCCAACAGTATTTTCTTCCCCGTGGTAAATGCAATGAACTGAATGTTTATGTCCTTCCAGAATTCACATGAGGAAATCCTAACGCCCAAGGTGATGGCATAAGGAGATGGGGCCTTTGGGAAGTGGTTAGGTCATGAGGACTCTGCTTAGTGCCCTTATGAGACATCCCACAGAGCTTCCTTGCCCTTCTGCCACATGAGGACACAGTAGAAGACTATTTATAAAGTAGGAAGTACATCCTCACCAGACACTAAACCTGCCGGCACCTTGATCTTTGACTTATCGGTCTCCAGAACTGTGAGAAATACATTTCTGTTGTTTATAAGCCCCTCAGTCTATGGTGTTTGGTCATAGCAGCCCGAATGGACTAAAGCAGTACAGAACTCTAGTTAAGTAGCATAAGCTTATAGTCTAAATTCATACAGAGTAGAACTCCTCAGACTTTGGAGTTTTGTTTGCTTATGATGAAAGTCACAGAACAATCCAGGCTGATGGTTAATATCACTTGAGGAGGGAATGGCTCAGGTGATATTACCGATGTGAGTATCAGGGAACTCAGAAACACGGCCATCATTTCCTCTCACTATCGCCCATTGCTCATTGGGACTTAGGCTCTGAACAAATCTGTTATTCCCTTTGTCCCCACCCCTTCCACAACCTCTACCCTCAGAATTAACCAAAACAATGCAGTAATTGTCCATTTGTTTTTGCCTAACCAGCCTTTGTGGTCTGGCAGCTGTGGCCATTTATCTGCCATGGTTCATCTTTGGAAGTCGGTTGACATGGCAGACTGGGCACCTAGTTAGAAGTATGTCCACATGGCCTCTGACCCCAGTCTACCACTCTCTTGCTTTCTGACCTTTGACATTCACTTCTCCCCCTGCAGCCTCAGTATCCATATCTGGTAGGGGAAACTGCTGGAAAAACGATTCCTAGCAGCTCAATCTATAATTCTTTGAGTTATTACTTCACTCCTCAAACCTCTATAATCCAAACCACTCCATTTAATAAGGCAAATAACATTATTGTGCAACATCAATACGTAGACTTAAATTATTTTTATGATATTGTTGCTTAGTGATGTGCAAATGGAAAACTAGAAATGAACTCCATATGCTCTAGCTCTGACTCAACAATAAAACTAAAACAAAGTAACAAATTAAATGTAAAAACAATAAAATCCATAACATTCAAATTAACGGCATTAGTTTAACACGATGGATGATGTTATTTTGCTGAGATTAAACTGTCGTTCAAAATTTAAATACAGTACTCGCTGCTAAAGCCAATGTTCTCTTGGTTTTGGCATGCACGCGCCCACTCCAGGCTGCGTGAGGACTCACTTGCATGTCACTTTCCTCAACTCAGGGAACCCTTCCCTCCTACAAAGAGATGGCATCGGGTGGCTTTCACTGAGTCTGACTGTATCAGCCACATTTTTAAGACTGCTCTTTTGTTGCTTATTCATCTACAACCACTGGAGTAGAGCGCCTTCCTTTAAACATAGGGAAACTTGGACAACATAACTCATGGCAGGACTCTCTTATAAAGGGGAAATAATACACAGCTATTCATTATTTTTAAGATTATCATGAAAATTAAAGCACAAAATAAAACTACACATTTCAGAGAAAATTCTCAGACACACGTGAGAACACACATGCTGATCCCTCAAAGGGCTGCAAACTCCAATTTAAAAATTGCTTGTTTATGAAAAAAGAGTATAAGGTTGAGGAAACAAATAATAATGTTATTTATAATAATAGATAACAATAAGTGCATATGTTTCATTGAGCACTCTAATAAATGCTTTACATGCTTTCTCATTAAATAGTCATTACGCCCTACGACAGTATTTCTCAATCATTTTCTCATTATTTAACCCTCCAAGGAAACTGTTTAGACTTTTTTTTTCCTCAGTACCCCACCCCCAATGAAATCGCACCACCACAGATCTACTGTATATCTCTTATGTACTATGTATGTGATTCTGCTTAATACAGTGTTTCTGGCAGGGCTGTATTGTGTCCCCTTAGGAGCAATATCACCACCATTGAAAATCTATGTCTTTTGATAAGTAAAACATTTTAAAGTACCTGAGAATTTAATTAAGTAATTAAGGAAATCAATATTTTGTTTTTATTTTTGTTTTCTTTTTTTTTTTTTGAAATGGTGTCTCACTCTATTGCCCAAGCTGGAGTGTAGTGGCGCCATCACAGCTCACTGCAGACTAAACCTCCTGGGCTCAAGTGATCCTCCTGACTCAGCTTCCCAAGTAACTGGAACTACAGGCACCCGCCACCACAACCAGCTAATTTTTGTATTTTTTGTAGAGACAGAGTTTTGCCATGTTGCCCAGACTGGTCTCAAATTCCTGGCCTCAAGCAATCCTCCCACCTTGGCCTTCCAAAGTGCTGGGATTACAGGCAAGAGCCATCATTGCCTGGCCAATACAGTTGATTCTCATAACTTGAGATATTTAGGTTCTATAAAGTAACCATAAACACTAAATTAGCAAATCATTGCCCCAAAGGGAAACAGAGTTAGGTTCCTGTGAGCCTCTGCTCACATGTTTATCAATTGATCAACACGTCAATTTGGTTTTTGTGTGTTTCTATTTAAAGACATCTTACTTAATACATATTGTTGATGCATTGTCATGGAACTCAATGCCAATGGCACTGTAATTCATGTCTGAGCAAAGCTTATCTGACACATATTGGCGACATCACAGCCCTCTTGCACTTAGGAACACTACACAGCTCTTCAACACTACACTTGGGGGTCGTCTTAATGAAAACAGCAACAAAAAGCACAAAAAGCAAAAAAAAAAAAAAAAAAAGGCAACAAATGGACCCCAAAAAGAACACTGTGCATAGTAGGAGAGCTGAAACAGGAAGGCAGAGTGTCACCATGTTCAGCCTCATCTGGGAAGGTATGCATTGCACAACACAAATATTTTACCGCTCTGCATGTATTTGTGAGTGACCCTAAAGTGCCTCAAGAGTTGATGTGGTGATTACGCATAAATTTTAGCAAGTAGGCAAATTCTCAAATATGAAATCCACAAATAATGAGGACTGACACTGCGTCATCTTATATTATATGTGATGTTGCAGCTTGCGGCCCGCTTCCATGTAGACGGGGATAGGGAGCATGG